AACTTGAAGTAACAAGGTTAATCAGAAGTATTTTACTACCTTGCAAAACCATCGTTATTAACCACTGTGTTACTCACAGAGCAGGTGAAGGGCCTTTTCCTTTGGGGGGGGTGAGGGGGGGTCCAAAGAGCCCAGGTGCTGTGTAGCAATGACATGCACAACACATGGGGAGAGCATGCTCGCTGTGCATCGAGTGTCTGCAGCTGCTCCCGTCAAGGGCACAGACAGGATCATCTTCTGACCCTACAGGGATTGCCGTATTTGTAACCGCATCAGAAAAGGGCAGCAATAATCATCTGAGGTGAAAAACTAAAGAAAAGTATAGATGCATCAGTCCCCATCTGGGTTGGAGTTAGTATTGTAATTGTTAAACACAGGCTGAAAGTTTATTTTCTGAGTTTTATTGGCCTCTGGTCACAGATTAGCATTTAGTAGCAAGGAGAGTTAACCTCGAAAATGTCAAGACAGCAAAAAGCTCTGTGCATATAACTATTTCATGCTGATACATGAGGCAGCTTGTAAGCAGGCCAGGTTATAAAGCTTCAAAAAAAATTTTTCTCTTTTCCAAAATAAACAATCCCCCAAACTGAAGTGCTTCAGGCTACAAAGGAAACTAGCCAGGTTGTTTATAACATACTGCAGGAATTCTGCTTAGGGCAAATCAGCTGCAAAGAAAATGAAAGCAGAGCTCAGAAGACAGTAGGTGATTTCTTTTCCGTCTTTGCATGGGAACCTACTACAGTCTGACAGGGAATAGATCCAAGCTCCTCTCCTACCTTGGTAAGTAGTAACAACGCTCCTCCCTGTTATACAGCACTTCTGTATTTGTAAAACTGTGAAAAGCATCAGTAACGAGGAGGTTTAAGGGAAACTGCAGTGCAAAGTGTCTGGACAGACTTGCTGTATTTACAGAGCAAGTCTAAGGCAGGTCTGGCAGAACCACCGCGGCAATCCAGTGACCTGTTTACTGCAGCTCTGAAGAAGTCGCAGATACACAGGATACAAAGCTTGCTGGATGCAAGCACTATAGCAAACTGATCCTGCTACACCTGAGGCAGCAAGAAAAAAGTCTGTCCAGCAAGCACCATCAGCACTATGCCTGGCTCACGATTACCAAAACTGGACGCATTTTAACACCTTTAAAAGCTGGTTTCGTGCAAGGCCATTCATATTGCCTAAGCTTATTGAAATAATTCATCCAGGCCTAACTGACAGGATCCTTAACGCTATTCTGTGGCAGAAGGTGAAATAAAAGAAATGAAAATTAAAAAATCCATTTTATTTCTTGCTGATGCTGTGAACAGGGAAGGATTTGCCCTACATACAACACACACCTCTGACTGCAGCGCTGAGTGACAAACAGGTCCAGTTCCGCCTGAGTGTTGGACATGCTGACGCTGAGGCTAGATGTATACCACATTGCTGTCAGTTGATTTAAAAATCAACTGCGTTCAGCAAATACCCCACCAAAGCAGCAACTGTGCAACACTTCAGTGCTCCTGTTACTCTTAACACCTAAAACAACTGTTCTGCAGTTTTAACGAAGCTTCTTAAAAGCTCTTTATTAACAGCTAAGCTTTGGGACACTTTGTTACTGATAAATAACAGCGAGGAAGAGAAGCTTACTCACTAAGGACTCTTTCTTTTGTAGAAATAGTTGCAGAATACAACCAAGATTTCTTAAACCTCCAGAAATTGTTCTTACTGCACTGCTGGTTTCTGCTGGTCCCACAGCCTTTTTTGCTGTCAGCTCTGCCACACAGTCCTTTAGGAGGCAAGAGACCAAAAAGAAAGCTGAAGGACTGATCTTGAAGTAATCCAAATCATACATTCCCCTCATTGCCCAGGCACTCAGTATGTCTTTCATAAAATAATTTCTAACACCCATTATATATATTTGATTCAAAGCTTTCAACTTCTGGCCTTTATTTTTTTTTTCCTCTTGCATTATAAAAAGCTGGTAACTTTAGACATGGCACTGCTCTAGTCTTGTAACAGATTCTCAATAGTTATAGAAATTTATCCCACATATGACCCTGACGCCTTATTTAGGATGATCTCTTCTGTAGGTGAGAGGGATCTTTGAATTTCATGGGCCATTTAATCTTTAGCCTTCACCAGAACTATTTAGGCTGCTGGTGAATTAGAAATATAGACCTTATGGAACTGAACAGATGTAATGGTAAAGCACTAGAAACTTTCACACAGGCCACTGAACAGCCAAGAGAAAGAGCCAACTTACAGTAACTACTTACCTTAGATAGGAATAGGAACGAAAAATCTGAAGAGCTCATTTTATTTTATTAGTGGTCCAGCTTCTTTCAGGCAATAGCTCCTTCTGAAGTGTTGCTGTGCCACCATGTTGTGTTACTCCAGGGTTTATTTTAGGACTTGGGAGAAAAATTCTAAAGGCCTATGTGAATGGTGGAGTCTCATTTTCATTTACAATGGGCAATGCTCACAGACACAATGACCTACTGACAATTACAGCAATTGCTACCCATCTGGAGAGAGATGAGAGGAGTATCTGATTCAGCTCTAAATCTTTTCCTCAAGCTCTGGAAAACACAGTGCGTTAGGAGAGGTAGATGATAAGTTTGGTAAGAGAAGAAGTACAACAGCACATTTTGAATATCTAAAGGAACATGTCTCCCAAAAAGACCACCCAAAGGATGGGTGCTTTTTTGGAAGATGCCTCTAATGCTTTTACACTCCCTTACTGAATGCCTCAAGCACTATTTGGTTGTTAGTTGAACTATACAGCCTTTTCTATTTACAAATGTATTTCAATTTAGATCTATACTCACCTCTGACCTCTAAAACATTGGATTTCTTATTTTTATTAATAGTGGTTTGCTTGAGAAGGCAAAAGCACAAAGGTAAAGCTAAAGAAATTTCTACATACAATAAACAAGTCAACCATGCTGATATACTCTGTGCAGGTTTCTCCACCTCCCAATTAATCCAGGCTCCACAGTGGTAATAGGGATTTAGTTTTCATAGCAAGAAGATAAACACTTAGAAATATAATTCAAGGGCAATATTGGAAAGCCCTCTTTTCCACTACTCTCTCCCTGATTTATATATGAATTCTTTATTATAAATCTTCCAGCCCCGGTTTAAAGTTAAGAAATCACCAGTGGGGAGGGGGAGAGCACACCGGTAACAAAGCAAGCAAAATATGCTCAAGAGACTCCATCTCCTCCAGTTTCTGAATCCCACATCACGTTGTTATACAACACATTGCCTTCTGTCAATACATCCTTCTCGACATATTACTCAAGACTCCAAGTTTGGAGTCTACATGGAAGTCTTCCACGAAGGTGAAGCAAGTATTTTCTATTTGGCGGTTTAACAGTATAATAAATCAATAAGAAACAAAAGTAGCTATTAAAAACTGTATTTTCCCCCCCAACAGTTACATTTTTAGTGAAAAGATTAAACCACATAAACACTTCACTTTTCTCCTTGAAAAGATTTAACAGCTCAGAAATGCCATAGATACACATGGAGGATGCATGTTAGCTTGACAATGACAGGCCACCACAATCCAGCCCATTCATTCCAGCCAGCAGCCAGAAAAAACACGTATCCCCTTAAATTAACCCTTTAAGGGCTGCCCCCCTTTGCACCAAAGTTAAAATTAAAGTGCCTTTTAGGCAACCAGGTTAAAATTTAAAGAATCTTTTGGGCTCATTCCTGGTTTATTTTAATAAAGAAATTTCTTATCTGGCCCCAACAAACAGGGGTAAAAGATTTACTTTCACATTGAACTTTACAAAGCTGCTTACTTGAAAAGGATCTTTTTCATAAATAGATGTACAGTTGTTCTCATTACACAGTATTTATTTGCTCAAGATAATTTCCCTCCTTGTGCCCACAAGTCTGTTCTTCCTTTTCCATACATTCCATGGTTTCTCCCAAGCTTTTTCCCCATTTTGAGACCGTAACAGCATCCTGTCATCATAGTTTCTTGCCATGAAAATGGTCATGTTGTCAGAGTCAGATTCTGGAATTGTTACTTCAAATAATTAACAACCATATGAAAGGAACCGGGAACAGGTGAATAGAGTTCTGCTTTAATAGATTTTGAAACATCTTAAAGTCAGTGCAACCCACAGGAAAACCTAGAAGTATTGTAAAAATGACCTGCACATATGAGAGAAAATGACGTGCTAGGTTTTAGGCAGCAGTGCTAGAAGTTTTATGTGCAGATTCCTGAACAGTCAGTGCACTTTGGGAATTTCACTGCAGGTTTTTCAGTTTGTAAGAGTGCATGTGTGTGTTTTAAGGCTCTGCAACTACTAAGAGAGTAAACCTGAGAGTGTCACCTGTACACTCACTATCGGACAGCTTAATGCAGTGCTACTGCCTCTTGGAACAGAGCCTAAAGAAAATGGTATTATCTTAGGATCCAGATAATTTCCATATCACCGAACAGTTGCAAGGAGCCAAACCACATACAATTTTTCAAGTGACTAGAAACTTAGTTTATTAAAGCCCAGTGCAAGTTGGATTTAAGTTAATGATCATTAATTTTTCCTTATGTGAGAGCTAGCCTTGTGCAGCAATTAAAGGGTTAAAGTGGAACTCTATGTAGTATTTTAAACAAGTTCACATATTCTCTATACAAATTTGGCAAATTCATGTCACAGCCATAGATCTCATTCTTGCAATTCCTGCAAAATATCTACAGCTCCTCTGTCAGAAGCAAAGAGAGAAGCCACCTGAACAGCCAGGTCTACCAGGAGTTCATAGTACAGCCCACACAGTAGCACAGAATGGCTGGTGATCTCCATGTTCCAGCTTAAACAGGTAGACTTATTGAACTAAATATGCTTTCGACACATGCTCCCCAAAGAGCTCGAGGCCACAGAGCAGATGAGTATGGAAAAACTGATTGCATCAGAAACACTGCAGCCAATAGGAAATCAAAAACATGATTTCAAAGCCAATCAAAAAAACCCAAAACAAACCCAAAAAAGCAAGCATTTATATGTGTGTAAATGTAATAAATATTGCAAAGCACGTTTGTCTTTTTCCCCCAAGTCAGTAAGTATAAAGAAATAACCAATGCACCAAAACATCAGCTTTCTGCAATGAAAATGTCGAAGTCAGCAAAATACCTGCAAGCCAACTGAAGAGAAAGCATTTGCATTGTCAACCAATCACAAGTTGCTTCCAGTTCTATGCAGCCAAATCAAACCCTCTTCAAATTCACAAGTTTGACCTAAATAAGCACCACAGCATGAAAAGCTTCTTTAGAAGTAGGATGTCAAGAGACTTTCTTTAAAATGTAAAATAAAACGCAAGATAAAAGTTTTTCATTGGTCAAGTTTGAAAAATTGTCTTCCTTTAGCCAATCACAGCCTGTCCCTTTGAGCCAATCACAAATACACCTTTAGGTTTGTCCTTAATTAACACAGCCCAGCTGAGTAGCAAAAACTTATAGGAATAGATGGCTGTGAGATGCATTCTGAGGGTTGGGCAAAGGGAAACAAAATTACAAAGGAGAAGGAATACCAAGGAACAATTAGGGTGGGCAAAGGAACTTATTAATGCTCAGCCATCCTCCTCTATCTTCAGGAATCTCACTGTCCTCTCCAGTTCTGTGTTGTTCAGGTATCCTGTAGTTACTGTCTTCTGTCTTCTGTCTCTGATCTGGAAAATGCCATCACAACATCCTCAGCACCTGTAATAACAATGGATACAGGAAAATGTGTGCCATAATTACTTCCTTTAAAGAACAGTGGATAGATGCAGTACCCAAACTGTCATTCTACACATCCATAAAATCAATAGGAAAAGAAAAAGAGGACAGAAAGAAGAGAAAACTGTGTTTTCTTATTTTTCTGGGACTGGAACCTGAAGTGGTCTGAACATTTCCTTTAACATGTTCCTTTGCAAGCCTAAGGAAAACAGTTTGTTTTTAAAGAAAACCAAGAATTCCTTGTTTTCACATATTTCTAAGAAGCAAGACTTTTAAAAAAAAAAAAAAATCATAGGATTGTCACCACAGGCATGTAGAGATAATCTTTTTTTTTTGCCCTGTAAACTCTGGCACTGCATAAGAGACTTATTGAGCTGCTCTGAAGTATGAGGAACTCAACTGTTCAATAAACTTGTACTGCCCTATGCATCACACTGTCCCTTTTAAGTCATGTTTAGATATTCTTTACTTTATCTTTGCATCTAGATATTCATTACTCTTTGCTTTTAGGAATAAAAATTGTTTTAATAGGCCAGCTGAAAGGTTTTTGCCTTTCCCCCCTCCCCCACTGAAAATCACTTAAACACCCTTTATAAACTAACATGTCTTGAAGACCTTCCATTCTCTAATGGAAGTGCAATAATTTCTTTCAAACTGAAGGCTTCCATTTGCCCAGGGAACAGATACAGCTTTGCTAAGTAATGCTTTTATCCATAGCCTGAAGAAATCTTTTCCAGAAGAATTCACTGTGTGGACCTTCTCGGTTATTGGATTTTTTTTTTTTTTTTTTTTTTTTTTTTTCCAATTGAGGCTACCAACCCCTAAGGACAGAAAGATGTTATTACCTTCCTATAACCATTTCCAAGTCGTCGCAAACTTGCGTGGTCTTTCAAGTGGGCATTTAAAGTAGAAAGATCTGAATGGCTTGAGAATCATGTCTGATAAAGGCTTGTAAAGAATATTCCATGCCAAGCTCTCATTCTTCAAAAAGATACTTTGAGATCTTCAGAAAAAAAATCCACTCTCTGGACTTCCCAGCTATAGAGCATGGCCTAACAGGCACTTAAAGAGAAATGTCTTCAGGACAATATGGAAATAAAAATACATCACACAGTAGTGTCAAAGCAGTGGTTTAAATCAATCTCTCTAGTCTAGACAAGAACTGGAAAACATCCCTGAAGGGCTGAGTGCAATATTTTTAATTTCTGGTAAAAATTTGATCCCCAAGAAAGTCAGATAAAAGTAAATGCTTTCTTTCATCTGTAGATCCTCTAACAGCATTTATCTAACTGATTAGAAAATATGATGAATCCTCCAGTCACTGTCTATATAATTTTTAAAAATTATTTCCTCCATTCAAATGATCCTAAGTGTTTAAGTGCAACAGATGACTCACAATGACCATTTTGGCCTTCATTAATTTATTCAGTCTGCTTGGGATAATTTTGCTTAATAAGTTTTTCTTCAAAGCTTCTATTAAAGGATTAGACAACAAAGCAGGAAATGCCAACAGCAACACCGACTGCCTGTCCCATTCAGGTAACTGATCAGCTCTACCGAATTCCCTCACTGGGGATTGGAAAGTTCAAATTCAACTTGCATGGAACATCAGCATGTAAAAATTCTCCAGTCTGTTACTTGAAGCGTATCAAGCAGCAGATTTCTGCTTTGTGCCCCAAGCAATTTCTGCCTATACACCTGCATACAAAGTACAAGAAAGAGGACTAATAAAAATTCCTCATCTGTTATAGTTATATGAATTCCATTTCTCAGTTATCTAATTTCCTCTTTAGTTGCAATATAGAAGGAAAAGTGGCCAAAAAACAGGGGAGAAGATAAGATTGTAAATTCTCCTTGCTAATATCCTTAAAACTAAATCAATGCTTATGAAATGCAACTACATTTATTTTTATACACTTCACAATTTATTTGTTATACGTACTCAAAGGAGGAAATACGAAGGACCAAGCAGTAGTTTGTTTTTCATAGGTAGGACCCCTATCTTATAGAACTACATCAAAAACTGCTCTGATGCACCCTCTTGCCAACACTCAGAAGCCCTGCAGTCATCTCCCTTTTCATCTCCTCCACAAACTGTTTTTCCCTTGATCAAAACATAAATGATATATAGCACTAGGATCCAGCTCTGAATTAACAAGTTGCCATGTTGATTTTTTTTTTTTTTAAATGCGTAAGAACTACTAGCCTCTACAAAAAGAAGGATTTTATTTGCAAGGATTCTGAAAAACACTTCTATGCTAAAAAAAGGAGGGAGTAATGACACTTAGAAGCATTAAGAAAGCAAGTGGACATAAAGCACAACCTCTGCCACTCTATTTTACACGCATCCCCCTTTAAAGTCGAGGAGGCTTTGCTATGCAAGTCCGGGGCAGCTGGAGTAGCCTAGCAACCGCAAAATCACAGATGACGACACATTAGCACAAGAGATGAGCTGGATTACTTAACAGATGTTGATTGTTTTCCCGGGGTCTCCCCTTTCTACAGTGTAAATATGAAAAAAAATTCTTACAAGCATCCTTCCAAGTTTCACGCAGAAAAGGAAATTTCATTCCAGATAATCATGCAACCCCATCACCACACAGGTCCGTATTTCTGCCTGTCCCGAACAATTCCAGCTTTCAGCACTGTTCCTATGCGCAGCCTACTGTGCCGAGCACACAGTCGCTGAAAACACACGACGAGCAGAAATAGCTTTCGGGACAAAGGATGCTGGGAATTCTGCAGTTCATTTTGGCTTTCGCAATCAAAATAGCTATCGCTGAAGAGCAGGTTCACGCTCAGCTAGCTCCTGTTCTAATTCCTTAGGCCCACCTGGCACAGCTTCAATACCGGTGTCACTGTCAGTATGAACTTCTGGTAACTTGCCATTTGCCTGGACTTTGAATAAGGAAAGAAAAGGGGGTGCGAGGAATACAGCTTGTCAATACAACAGGAAAATACAAAAAGCCAAGTTTTAAAACAGTGTTCTATTTGGAGGAAAAAGCAAGAGTACAATGAAGAATACAGTGTAACAGTGTGGAAAATGCTTGAATACCTATAGTATTACTGAATTATTATTATGTGCATCCTAAAGGAAGAAGTAGAACAGGAGATGGAGAATGGGTCTAGAATTCAAGGTTTTGGTCTTTCACAGCCAAAGCTAACTGCACAGTCAGTGTGCAGTACCCTTGTTTTACCAACGTAATTATGGTAACTGCAGTTTTAAAGTTACCTGAATTCATGAACAAAGTGCATATGGGTTTTTTTTATCATAACATCATCAAAAAGCATGCTCCCTCTCTGAAGTTCTTTAGCACTTTATAATACATAGTTTCCCATATGGTACTTTTTAAATTAAGATGGGCAATCAGTAGCCAAGGTGGGTAAACAACTCATTAAGGAATGATTATGAATTGTGTTTGAGAGGATAATCATTGGCCTGAAAAGGAGATTACAACTGCACTTTCTCAACAGTTGGCCTTTGCACCAGTTTTATTTAATACTTTCATAAATGATCCTGGAACAGAAAAGTAGTCATATACTAAGGAAATCCGATGGCAACACAAAGTTAGAAAGTTCCATCAAAACACCAGGAAGCAGCAAAACAATATACAGGAACGAACAGGATAGCAGTGAAGACCAGAGGTGGCAAAAGGGATTTAGCTATTCATTTTAGAAAGGAAGACAAAGAAAAAGATCAAGATTAGAAGTGATATATTTTTATGTCTCATGGTACAGTTTTAAACAAGATTAGTAGAGAATGGATTTTATACACAATTCTGAACAGTTTTATTTCTTGCTCCCTCCTCAGTTCCTTTTGTTATTTGGTAGAACGGCCAATGTTTTCATTGGCAGGAATTACATGCAACCCAGCATTTGCAAGAGCCTCAGGCAATTGCCTTTAAAAAGACAATTTGATCTATCAAATAGGAGATAATACCACCTTCCAGGTAGACAAGTAAGTGGGTGGGTAACCCGAGGGCACAACACCCAGCAGAACAACATCTCGCAGTAAAGACTCCAGCCTATGCTGATTTTTTCTATTCCCACATTAAAGATCCAATTTTATCATTAGTGAGGTGATACATTATTACAACAAGGAAGACATGCTTTGTCCAAAAAACAGCAGCCGCACAGAACGTTCTTGCAGGCTACCAAATCTGACGCTAGCATGAACAGGACCATCTATTTCACACCAAAACCGATGGTTCCCAGGCAACCTCAGACCAGCCACTTTCAACACAGGTATCCCTGCCCTCTGGGTATCGCACCTCGTGGCCATATTTTATATTCACTAACAAAAGAGACAGTTCGTTATTCCGCACTTCTCCATTCTTCATGAGCACCACGACTCTTGACTGGGATATAAAAGGCAATAGTATTTCCCAGATCTGGAATCAGGCTGTTCAGGGGACTTGCAAAAATGGAAGATACTTTCATGTCCGTAAGCCAAGTAGTTATAATATAACAATGCCACAACCTCTTGAAGGGCAGAAAGTCCTACTGGTTTTAGCTGAGCATTTCAGTGATCTGAAAACAGAATGGAAAGCTTCTCTTCTGAACTCGAGTAAGGGTAAGAGCGCAGTATGCAAATGAAAGGGATACTCTGATCAGTGCTTTCAACCTCCCAGAAGCAACTTATGGAGCATGATTATTTCTGAAGATGTCCTGTAGCAAAAAAACCTGGGTGACATTTGTCCAGAAAAAGGTCATCCCCATCCACATTTCTCAGCACAAAAGCAGGTTTTGTTCAAGTCTGGTCCTACAACCCAAACTATCCAGAGCTAAATGAAACCAATCTAACAAGTCTGCTCATTAAGCAATTCTACAGCCGCCTGTGCTCATGTACAAATACAAACATTTCCAGAGAACAGAGCAGGGGTTTCTATGTGGTGAAAGGAAAGCAGGGATTAAAGTACTAGTGAACAGAGCTTCTGCTGCAGTCCCACTTGGCTCCCACAACGGATGTTTTCTTTCTAATC